CCTCTATCAGTTATCCAATGCACTATGGCTACACATGTGTATATTATTTCGTTAGCTCAGAGAAGTTATCTGTGAATTACACATCTTGTTAGCAGTAATTTTCGTATTATCGACCAAAATAAGAAGAAAACAATTCCGATATGATATCAGAACAATTTGCAGCTTCCATAACTGACGCTTTGGGTAATGAGCTTTACCAGGTGAGGTTTTCTTGGATTCTGCTGTGTGAAGATTTGTGACATCTTCGATTTGTTTGAGCTGAAGTAGTTCATCTTCATCGTTTAGGTTCGTAGATTGTTGTGGTGGATCACAAGCTCAATAAATGCTGAGATTGAAAGAGAGGTACACTTGTGTAGCACTTAAAAAGCCTTGCAAAGCAGTAATATGTTTAGACGTTCATTTTCAGCTCATTCTCGTGCCTGCTACTGGTGTGGGAAATTGGTTTGGTTCACCGATGATGGCATCTATGGAGAAGAATTTATGATTTATACCTTTGGTAAACTTCATTAGTAAATTTTTCTCATGTATATATTTCTTTTCATTGGCTTTTTTGAATGCTTGATTGACTACTGTGGATCCTTTTCTTTGTTATTCGGGAGAAAAAGACCATATAAGTATAATAATATTCATACTTTGAGCCTTGTGTTGTGTTTCTCCACATATCGTTTCAACTCCTACGAATATACAGAGCAAATGCAACTTTGAATAATCCGATATAAATCGGGTTTATATAATGATGATTATTTTGGAAGATGGATCGAAAGAGTGTGTCTAGACAAAGACCGTGAATCAACTCGACAAAAAAAAATTACCAAACAACTTGGATTCTTGAAGTAGTTCAGATAAAAGAAGAAGCAACAAAAACACCAAGATCATCCAAGCAATTATTGAAGACCTTACCAGAGAGATTAGAGAAGAAGCCCAAGTTCTGATGGCTTCAATGCACTTCTCAAACCGTAATTATAGAGATAGTAGTGCATTTGTCCATCTCCTTCTTTAAACTTCAACTCTTTCAAGAAACTCTCATTGTGCAACACATCCAACGCGTAGAACACATGGAAACCTTTCTTCTTAGAGACAATAAGCGCATCTTTCATCAGTTGAGGAAACGAGATACTTGTCGCAACATTGTAGAAAGAATAAGCACATTCCACTGTTGTGTATTTCGGGTTACCAGCAATAGTATAAGTTACATTGTAGAAGCTGCAGAAGTCAGTGACCTCATGAGTTTCAGGACTTTCTACTAAGTAACTGTGGACGACATCTTTTATTGGCAGAAACCAGTGCTCGACATCGATTTCATCAAACTCAGTCGCAACTCCAAACTGGCTAAGGTAGTCCCTAAGTAACCTTGTAACATAACATATACATCAGACTGTTCCATTTCCCTAAATCCACGAGTGATCGGTGCCTCTGGTAAGCCATATATAAAGTTTGACAGCCCTATTTGTTGTCAGGTGGTGACTGGTTTAGGACGTAGTTGATCAAATGAGTTATAAACCGCTTGCCATATATCCCGCAACTGAATCCTTCTAGTCAGCTCTTTGATCATGGTAGCAGCAAGTCTCTTACCCCTGCAATTCTTGCGGTGAACACACAAGAAATTGATCTTTGCCATTTTAACAAATTCACCACACGGACCCTGATTCTTGCTGGCACACCACTTACGAAACCAACAAGTATCTTTGAGGCCTTGACACAGACTCCAACATTCCAGCTCTGGTCATAACCAGGTGGACACAATGCCCCACCTTAGAAACTCCTTGGAGTAGTTCACCTTGAAGTTATATTCCGCATCAGGATAGTTTTTCTCCAAAAATTTGTACACCTTTGAACGCACATCCTCAGAATTCCGTACGGCTCTTGCTTGACCTCAGACAACGGAGTTCTGGGCTCGATTGGGCCTTCAGGCAAACTCGCGTCTCCGATATCGTTGAACTGCCCAGCAGGTTGAGTCTCCCAGAACGTATCGTCCTTGGCTTCAAGGATTTGATCTGATTTCTCTTCTTTAGAGAAAGGCTGAGATTTTGGCATGTTTTGAGACTGGATTTTTGAGCTCTTACCGACCTCTTCTCGATCAGACAGCGGCTCCATTTCCTTCAAATCGGGGCCAAAAAGTTGCAGGTAAAGAAGAGAGGTTCTTGAGGATCATTACAGAAGAATAACGATTGCAATAAGCGGTCATACCCAAAAGGAGACTAACTGTCCATTTCCAGTTTCCACCTGAGTAAACTAGACATTCCTGTCTCGGAATTTAAGCAACTTCCGCCACATCCATGATCCCTAGGCCTCTGAGGTTGTCCAGAGAAAGCCTTCCTGAATCATATCTTTTCACCCTATGCACCCATAAGGACGAATGTGTGGAGATAAGTTTTTCAGATCAACCGGTACCGCAAACTATAAACTGCTTTCATTTTTCGAGTGGTCTCCCAACCCTCCTTCCTCCTTAAGATGACACACATACTCCCATGCCATTTTGGATTTCTTGGTCCACCACATGAATACCTCTTCTTCTCCTCCAAGACTCCAATCATCTTCTTTTCTATCTTCCTTTTTTGTGAATTAGAACTTTTGGATTTTGATCTTTTTACAGGTTTCTTCATATTGAAGTCTTGGGATTAAAGTTATCATACAAGGGATGTGTGAGGAAATGACTTTTAAAAACTAAAAACGATGAAGGCTAATGAAGTTAAAACAGGAATGGAGATATCTTGTGACGCACGCTATTGATTAAAAAGTTTCCTTTATTTTATGGATTTGAAAAGTTCTCATTACATAT